ACAGCACAACCTCAGAGTGAAGGGGTGATCCTTTAGAACTGAGATGAGGAGGAATTCCTTCAGCCAGAGTGTAGTTAATCTGAACTCATTGCCACAGACAGCTGTGGAGACTAATCTATTGAGTGTTTTGAAGACAGAGATAGGTTCTTGATTGGTATGGGGATCAATGGTCATGGGGAGAAGACAGGAGAAAAGGGTTGAAAAACATATCAGTCATGATTGAACCATCGAGCAGACTCGATGGGCCTAATTCTGCTCCTACATCTTATGGTCTTATGGTCTATGCAGTCAATCTTCTCCTCCTGAATAACACTCTCTAGCGCAGTGAATCCACTCTTCCTGAATCCCCACTGTCCAAACAATGATCCATCTCCTCTTCGATAACAATCTCCAGTGCACTGATTTATCTTCTCCCAAATATGACTCTCCATTGCAGTAAAGCCGCTCTGCTGAATAACAGTCTAGTATGGTTCATCTACTCCTTCGAATAAGACTTTTCAGTGCAGTGATTCCATTCCTCCTAAATAACATTCACCAAGGCACTGAATCAACTCCTCCTGAATGACACTCTACAGTGGAGTGAATCCAATGCCCCTCACTAAACCTAATATCCTCTATGGAAAGGAAATGCTGCTCTTAGCTGGTCTCACCTAGATGTGACTTCAGACCAACAGTAATGTGGTTGAACAAAAATAGAAGTTGGTGGAAAAGCTCAGCACGTCTGGCAGCATCTGTGAAGAAAAAAAATGAGTTCAAATTTTGGGTCCGGTGACCTTTTCTTAGAACTTATGGTAGCTGGGAAAACGTAGGTTTACATGCAGAAAATAGGGAGGGGGATGGGACAGGGAGTAAACGATATGATAAAGGATAGAGCCCGAAAAAACAGAAGAGCAGTTGGATAGAAAAAGGAGTTTATAACAATCTGGCGAGGAGGGTGAATAGCTGTTAATGGGGATATTGGTGACTAACAATAGGCAGATCATCAGACGCCATTTTCCCCACCTCCAGCGAGATGCCATCACCAGACACATATTCCCCTGTCTGCCTTCCGCAGGGACTGCTCCCTCCGGGACACCATGGTCTACTCTTCCTTCACCCCCAACAACCCCCTGCCCTGCAACGCACCCCCCCCCCCCCCACCCCACCACCTCCCAACAACCCCACGGCACCTTCCCCTGTAACCGGCGATGGTGCAACACCTGCCCATTTACCTCCTCCCTCCCCAGTATCCAAGATCCCAAACATACCTTCTATGTGAAGCAACACTTCACCTGCACTTCCCAGAATCTAGTCGACTGCATTCGCTGCTCAAAATGTGGTCTCCTCCACACTGGGGGAAACGAAGCATTGACTTGGCGACCGCTTCGCAGAACATCTACGTTCTGCTCGCAAAAAAGACCCTGAGCTTCCAGTCGCCTGCCACTTTAACGCACCACCCTGTTCCCTGGCCAATATCTCTGTCTCTGGCTTGCTGCAGCGTTCAGCGAAGCTCAATGCAAGCTGGAAGGACAACACCTCATTTTCCACTTGGAGCCCTCTTGCAGCCCTCTGGACTCAATGTTGAGTTCAGTCATTTTAGAATCTAAACTCTCCCATGTCCTAGCCCCCTACCCCACACACCAGGCCTTGTTATCTCATAGCTTGCTATTACACATTACCAGTTGTTAGTCACTAACAGTCCCCATTAACAGCTATTCACCCTCCTAGCCAGATCATTATGGGCGGCACAGTGGTTAGCACTGCTGCCTCACAGCACCAGGGACCCGGTTTTGACTCCACTCTCGGGCGACTGTCTGTGTGGAGTTTGCACATTCTCCCTGTGTCTGTGTGGGTTTCCTCCGGGTACTCCGGTTTCCTCCCACAGTCCAAAGATGCGCAGGTTAGGTGGATGGGCCATGCTAAATTGCCCATAGTGTTCAGGGATGTGTTGCTTAGGTGGATTATAGGGGATGGGTCTGGGTGGGATGCTCCAAGGGTCAGTGTGGACTTGTTGGGCCGAAGGGCCTGTTTCCACACTGTAGGGATTCTATGAAGTTATTTACTCCTTTGTTTATCCGGCTGCAGTTCTCTCTCTTTGGGCTCTATCGTTTAGTTCCTACCCCATCCCCCTCCCTATTTCCTGCACATAAACCTACATTTTCCCAGACACCATCAGTGCTGAGGAAGGGTAACTGGATCTGAAACTTTAACTCTGATATTTTTCTTCACAGATGCTGCCAGACCTGCTGAGCTTTGCCAGCAACTTCTGTTTTTGTTCCTGATTTACAGCATCTGCAGTTCTTTCAGTTTTTATTTAGTAATGTGGTTGACTCTGAAATGCAAAATAAAATGGCAAGCAACTTGCAAGCCACTCAGCCGTAACAATAACTAGAAAGGGAAACAGCGAATGGACCAGATGGACAATGAATCATAAATTCCGTACAGTGCAGAAACAGGCCATTTGGCCCATCGAGTCTGCACTGACCTTCCGAAGAGCACCCAACCTCCCTATCCTTGTAACTCTGCATCCCCCACTGGCCAACCCACCCAGCCTGCACATCCCTGGACATCATTGGTAATCCAGCACATCTTTGGACTGTGGGAGGAAACCAGAGCACCAGGAGAAAACCCACACAGACACAGGGATAATGTGTAAATCCACACAGACAGTCCCCCGAGGGTGGAATTGAACCTGGGATCCCGGTGCTGTGAGGCAAAAGTGTTAACGACTGAGCAACCTGGCTTCGGTTAAGGCACCGCAAACAGATAAAGGGAAAAGTGTTCCTTACTAACATCTCAGTGTTAGTGCCAAAATTGGGAGAACTGACTTACGGACTAGTCGAGCAACAACCTGATATAGTCGTACTGACAGAATTATACCAGACAATGTCCCAGCACCACCACCATCAGGGTGGTGTCCCAGGCCCAACCATCTTCAGCTGCTTCATTAATGACCTTCCCTCCATCATAAGGTCAGAAGTGGGGATGTTCGCTGATGATTGCACAATGTTCAGCACCATTCGTGACTCCTCAGTTACTGAAGCAGTCCATGTCCAAATGCAACAAGATCTGGACAATATCCAAGTTTGGGCTGTCTAGTGTCAAGTAACATTCACGCCACACAAATGCCAAGCAATGGCCATCTCCAGTAAGAGACAATCTAACCACTGCCCCTTGAATGCATTACCATCATTACCCCACTATCAACAATCTGGTGGTTACCATTGACCAGAAATGGAACTGGACCAGCCATATAAATACAGTGACTACAAAAGCAAGTCAGAATCTAGGAATACTGCGGTGAGTAATTCACCTCCTGACTCTCCAAAGACTGCCCACCATCTACAAAGCACACACCAGGAGTATGATGGAAGACTCCTCCCTTGCCTGGATGAATGCAGCTCCAATAATACTCAAGAGGTTTGAGACCATCCAAGACAAAGCAGCTTGTTTGATTGTCACCTCATCCACAAACATCCACCACAGATATTCAGTAGCAGCAATGTGTACCATCTGCAAGATACATTGCAGAAATCCACCAAAGATACTTAGAGAGCACCTTCCAAACACACAACTGCTACCATCCAAAGGACAAGGGCAGCAGATACACGGGAACACCAAATCCTGCAAGTTCCCCTTCAAGCCATTCACCATTCTGATATGGAAATATATGCATGTTCCTTCAGTGTCACTAGGTCAAAATCCTGGAATTTCTTCAGAAATGACACTGTGAATGTACACACATAAATAACGTACTCTATCGTGTACAACATCAAGTGGTCAGCTTTTCTAAGAACCATGGTTTATCATATTTCTCTTCACCAAACCTGCATATGCCACATCTCCAGACCGTCCACATCTGTAGACAAAACTCAGTTCTTCTTATGCTATTTGATGAAAGATAATTTTGACTATCAAATCTCCGATTACTTAGTAGCATTAACTTCATAAAAACAATCATCCATTCAGGTGGGAAATGCCATGGATTATCCGCGCTCAGATCGCTGAAATAATTTCATCATGTTTATTTAGAGTAACCAATGTGGAAAATTTACTTGACAAAACAATAATTGAGTGAGTGAGATATAAGGATTAAGGGAGAATATGAGGAGTTAAAATTGGGAGTAAGAGTGTGACAATGATTGAGAAAATGAGACATACAACAAAGATTGTGGCAGAATGTGTGAGAGGCAGCATCAGGGTGAATGTAATAGAATGAGGAATGGACAGAATGAGAATCAAACAAAGTGAGAGAAAGATAATGGGGAACCAAAACATATAGAGATGGAGATTTTAGAGTGAACAAGAGGATGAGAGTTAATGTTTTGGGTCAGAACTGTTCTGAGGAAGGATCAACATACTGGAAACATTAACTCTGATCTTTTCTTCACAGATGCTACCAGATTTTCTGAAGAAGGGTCTAGGCCCGAAACGTCAGCCTTCCTGCTCCTCTGATGCTGCTTGGCCTGCTGTGTTCATCTAGCTCTACACCTTATTATCTCAGATTCTCCAGCATCTGCAGTTCCTACTATCTGCTGCCAGACTTGCTGAGCTTTTCCAGCAACTTCTGTTTTTGTTCCTGACTTACAGCATCTGCAGTCCTTTCAGATTTTAAGAGGATGAGAGTGACAGAAGTGACACATTCTGAGGAGTGAGTGAAAGAGGATGAAAGAAAGTAGAAATAAATGAGAGATTGAAAAAGAAAAGAAGGTAGAGTGAGAGACAGTAAAGGCAATAGAATCTGATGAAGATGTAGGTTATAGAAAGATAAAGGTGTCAGAAGATAAAGTGAAATGTAGGAATAAACAGAATAAAACATTTTGTAAATCCATAATGATAATTGTGTGTGAGAGAGTGACAGATAATGCATTGACAAAAAAACAGAATTGACCACAGTAATATGGAGAAAGCCATCTTAACTGTACATAAAGACAGGAAACTTGGATGTGAGGGTGGTAGGCACTTGACACTGTGTTCTGCATGCCTCATATAACGTGATCTAGTGAACCAAGGGCACGCACCTTCAACCTCTAGAAATATTAAGTAACTATATAGTTTTTCTGGTGAATCACTGTAATATCCTTCTACATTCAGTTGATAAACACCACTGTCAGAAATCTCCAACCGCTGCAGCTCCAGGCTTCCATTCGTTGGGTAATATGTACATCGATGTTGATAATATGACGACATAGTAGGAGTTTCAGAACCGACATGATGAAACGATATTAAGGTTTTATGTGCACGATCAATAAAGGACCACTGTATTTTTTGGCCGTTTTTAACTTCTTTCATATCTCCATGCAATAAAACAGTGTCAAATATGGCTCCATATATGTATTTCCGTGTTTCTTTCACCATGTCCGTTTGTGCAAAAGCTGCAAAAAATGAATGGGTTGAGATTAATAGATCAACAAGAAAGTTAAATAGTCAATTGTTAAACAATGTAGGAAACTAAAATGACAGAAGCTTCAATAGCCCCTTTAATCTGAGATTCAATGATGTCAGGTGATATTAGATATTAGGTGTTCACTGCTATAGCAAAGAAATGATGTGGAGATGTCAGTGTTGGACTGGAATGGACAAGGTCAGAAGTCACACAACACCAGGCTATAGTCCAACAGGTTTATTTGAAATCACAAACCTTTGAAACACTGCTCCTTCGTCAGATAGAGTCAAATAAACCTAATGGACTATAATCTGGTGTCTGACCAGATCAAAGAGAAACATTGTACATTGGTGGTGATCTTTCAGGATCAGGGTGAGAGTCCTAGAGGACTGAAAAGTGGCTAATGTAATTCCCCTAGTTAAGAAGGGAGGGAGGCAGGGAACAGGAAATTATAGGTTAGTTAGCCTGACCTCAGTGGTTGGTAAGATTTTAGAGTCCACTATTAAGGATGAGATTGCGGAGTACTTGAAAGTGCATGGTTAAATAGGACTGAGTCACAACCAGCTTCGTCAAAGAGAGGTTATGCCTGACAAATCTGTTAGAATGCTTTCAGGATGTAATACATTATGGATCTGAGTGAAGCAGGCAGCACCGTCTCTCAGTGGTTAGCACTGCTGTCTCAGTACCAGGGACCCTGGTTCAATTCCACCCTTGGGCAACTATCTGTGCAGAGTTTACACATTCTCCCCGTGTCTGCGTGGCTTTCAATCCGGTGCTCCAGTTTCCTCCTACAGTCCATAGATGAGTAGGTTATATAGATTAGCCACGCTAAATTGTCCAGCGTCCAGGGATGTGTTGGTTAAGTGGGTTAGCCATGGGAAATGCAAGGTTACAGGGATGGAGTGGGGTGGTCTTTGGAGGGTCGGAGTGGACTCGATGGGCCAAATAGCCTGCTTCCACACTATAGGCATTCTATGAAGCTACTGATGGCATTGTTGCTAGGTTTGCAGGAGACACAAAAGTAGGTGGAGGGTTGGGTCGTGTTGAGGAAGTGGGGAGGCTGCAGAAGGACTTGGACATGCTAAGTGAGCGGGCAAAGATATGGCAGATGGAATAAAATGTGGCAAAGTGTGAGGTTATACATTTTGATAGGAAAAAAAGAGGCGTAGACTATTTTCTAAATGGGTAAAGGCTTCAAAAATCTGAAGCACAAAGGGACTTGGGAGTCTCAGTTCAGGATTCTCTTACTGTTAACATGCAGGTTCAGTTGGCAGTTAGGAAGGCAAATGCAATGATGGCATTCATTTCAAGAGGGCTAGAATACAACAGCAGAGATGTACTGCTGAGGTTGTCCGAGGCTATGGTCAGAACGTATTTGGAATATTGTGATCGGTTTTGGGCCCTGCATCTAAGGAAGGATGCGCTAGCATTGGAGGGGATCCAGAGGAGGATTATAAGAATGGTCCCAGGGATGAAGGGCTTATCATATGAGGAGTGGTTGAGGATTCTGGGTCTGTACTCGATGAGTTTAGAAGGATGAAGGGGGAGATCTGATTGAAACTTACAGAACATTGACAGACCTGGATACACCAGATGTGGAGAAGATGTTTCCACTGTAGGAGAGACTAAAACTTGAGGGTACAACCTCAGAGTGAAGGGATGACCATTTAGATCCAAGATGAGGAGGAACTTCTTCAGCCAGAAGTCATTGCCACAGAGGGCTGTAGAGACTAAGTCATTGAGTATCTTTAAGACAGACAGAGATAGGTTCTTGATTGTTAAGGGGATCAAGGGTTATAGGCAGAAGGCAGAATGGAGTTGAGAAATATATCAACGATGATCAAATAGTGGAGCAGATTCAATTAGCTAAATGGTCTAATTCTGCTCCTGTATCTTATGGTCTAATGCTGATTGTCAATTAGACTGAACGATTCTAGGAGCAGAGAACTCAAGGACACAGCAGATGGAGGGGAACAGTGATGAAAGTGAGGAGAAGGGAATTGGTGACTCTAGGAGTAGGGATAGAGAAATTGAAGACGCCGGGAGTTAGGAGTTGAGGGAAAATCAGAGAACCCAAGAGCAGGGGTCATTTTACTGTAAGTAATCTACAAGTCCACAGTTTAACGTTCCTATGCAACTATAACACTGTCATCAAAATAGAACAACAATAAAGTTTACGAGAAGATTTGTAGCTCAGGTAAAACCTCATAGAACAACAATGTCTGGTCTAGAAAAAAGAACAGACAAATTTAATCTCATTGATCTACATTCAATCATCCACAAAGTGTCCAAGGGTTTAATTGTTAATATTATCAAGTAGCAATCATTAAGCAGTATCTGCTCACTGATGCTTAGTCCTTAGCTTCCAGCAGGCCACCCAGCCCCACATCTCTTAACAACCTTAGGAACTGGGCAAGGAGTTGAGCAAGGCTGGCTTTGACATCACAAGGAACCCCAGGTAAACTGCAGCCAATGGGAAAACTGGGAAACTCTTTGCTGGATGGTGTCAAATCTGGCACAAAGGAAGATGTTTCTGATTATAAATTATAAAAATAGGTGGGAAGGTAAGTGGTGAGGATGAGAAAATGAGTCTGCAGACGAACATAGACAGTTTAAGTGAATGAACAAAATCTTGGCAGATTGAATATAATTTTGGGAAAATGTGAGGTTATGCAGTTTGGCAAGAAGAGGCACTGAATAATATTTAAATGGAGAAAGACTGCAGAAAGGTACAGAACAGAGAGTTTCGGGTTCCTTGTCCAGGAATCACTAAAAATCAGCATCCAAGTTCAGTGGGTAATAAGGAAGGCAAATGGAATGTTGGCTTTTATTTCAAAGAGAATAGAGCATATAAAATAGGGAGGTTTTGCTAAAACTATACAAAGAACTAGTGAGACCACAGCTGGGATACTGTGAACAGTTTTGGGCCCCTCAACTAAGGGAAGATATACCACCACTGGAGGCAGTCCAGAGAAGGTTCACTCAGCTGATACCAGCTATGGAGGGGCTGTCTTATAAGGACAGATCGAATTGTTTGGAGCTGTGCTCTTTGGAATTTAGAAGAATGAGAGGCAGACCTTGTTGAAACATTCACAATTGTTAGAGGACTTAACAGGGTAGATGCTGAAAACAAAATCAGAAATTGCTGGAAAAACTCAGCAGTAAAGCAGCATCTATGAAGAGGAAGCAGAGTTAATGTTTCAAGTCCAGAAACCCTTCTTCAGAACTGGAAAGATGCGAAAAGTTTGTTTCCCCTTGTGGGAGTGTCTCGGACCAGAGGGCATAATCTCAGAATAAGGGGTCACATATTTAAGACATTAAGAGATGAGGAAGAATTTCATCTTTCAGAGGGGCGTGAATTTGTGGAATTCTTTACTGCAGAGCTTTGTTCATAGAATATATTCAAGGCTGAGATAGGCAGATTTTTAATCAGGAAAGGAATCAAGGGTTATCGAGAAAATACAGGAGAGTGGAGCTCAGGGTTATCAAATCAGCCCTAATCTTATGGAATGGCAAAGTAGATTGCGTATGCCGAATAGTGTACTTCTGCTCCTATGTCATTATTAAATAATGTCAATAAGTGAGGTCTTAACACATGTATTCCCAAGCCTTGTTTGTCCTGCCCAAGAGCATCATCTCATGGTTATTCAAATTGAACTATTTGTCACCGATCAGGTGCATGGGAAGCTAGGGAAATGATTGCTGATCCCCTTGCTGAGATATTTGTATCATCAAAAGCCATGGGTGAGCTGCCAGAAGACTGGAAGGTGGCTAATGTGGGGCTGTTATTTAAGAAAGGTGTAAGGAAAAGCCAGCCACTGAGCCTGACTTCAGGTGTGGGCAAGTTGTTGGAGGGGATTCTGAGGGACAGGATTTACATGTATTTTGAAAGACAAGGACTGATTAGGGATGGTCAACATGGCTTTGTGCGTGGGAAATCATGTCTCACTAACTGCTGAAGAAGTGACAAAAATGATTGATGAAGGCAGAGCAGTGGACGTTGCTCTATGGACTTCAGCAAGGCGTTCAACGATGTTCCTCATGGTAGACTGGTTAGCTGACATAGGGAGAGCTAGACATTTGGATACAAAATTCGCTGAAAGGTAGAAGACAGAACGTAGTGGTGGAGGGTTGTTTTTCTGACTGGAGGTCTGTGACCAGCGGCATGCCACAAGAATTAGTGATGGGTCCACTGCTTTCTGTCATTTATATAAATGATTTGGATGTGAATATAGGAGGTTTAGTTAGTAAGTTTGCAGATGACACTAAAATTGGTGGTGGAGTACAATGGAACCTTGTTCAGATGGGCCAACAGGTCGAGGGGTGGCAGATGGAGTTTAATTTAGATAAATGTGAGGTGCTGCATTTTGGAAAGGCAAATCAGGGCAGGAATTGTACACTTAATCATAAGGTCCTGGGAAGTGTTGCTGGACAAAGAGACCTTGGAGTGCAGGATGCTAGTTCCTTGAAAGTAGAGTCACAGATAAATGGGATAGTGAAGGCATTTGATACGCCTGCCTTTATTGGTCAGTGCATTGAGTATAGGAGTTGGGAGGTCATGTTGTGGCTGTACAGGATATTGGTTCTGTTCTAGTCTCCCTGCTACAGGAAGAATGTTGTGAAACTATTTTTAAAGATTCAGAAGGATGCTGCCAGGGTGGGATTCCAGCACCTTGTTAGTTATTTCCTCCCTTTCCTCACTCTGGGATAATTCCTGAATGGACAATACTGCTAACTCCAGCTCTAGCTCTTACCCTGACATATGAAGGCGATGCTGAAGGTGAGACTGTTCCACATTATCACTCAGCATGAGGCCACACAGGCCTCAGGCCCAACCGGAAACACCTGTCACCATGGCAACGGGGCACTCCATCCAAATCAGGCCCCGCCCACAGACTAGGCCCCGCCTCCAGGATAGGACCAGCCTCCAGGCCTGGCCCCGCTCCTAGACCAGGCCCCGCCTCCAAAATGCGGCCGGCCGCCAGGCAAAGCCGAGCTCCCCAGACCTATGCCCCGCCCTCAGACCAACGCCCCGAGCCACGCTCTGGCACCGCCCCCGGACACAGGCCCCGCCCCCAGATCCAGTCCCCGCCCCCAGACCGGGATCTGATCCCAGGCCCAGGCCACGCCCCCAGAAACACCCCTCGGCAGGACAAGACCAACACGAGACACAAGACCCGCCCCTTCTCTGATCCGACAGACCAGAGGCACTGCCGCTCAACAGGCCACGCCCCAACGACTAGACCCCGCCCCATCAGGCCCCACCCCCTCGACCAAGGCCCGCCCAACCCTCAGGCCACGCCCCCAGGTTCTGGTGGTTTCCATGGAGACGGGAACTGTTTGAGCAAAAATGAGGAAAATGTCAACGAGACGTCTCCTCCCCGTCTGGGTGTGTCTGGGTAAGGAGCCTCCTCCCCGTCTGGGTGTGTCTGGGTGAGGAGCCTCCTCGCCGTCTGGGTGTGTCTGGGTGAGGAGCCTCCTCCCCGTCTGGGTGTG